AAAAATAAACAACATGCAAGCGTCACAATAAGTTTTAAGGTTCGTTTTGATAAATTTACACAAAACGTTTTTATTAGACCATCTGGCCTTAAATGTCATTATTAAGCACTATGCGATGTGTAGCCCGTCCAATCCAGGTCGGTAGATGCAACAGCGTTTATAACGCGGAGGTAATGGCTGATGATAATCCACGCGAAACTGAGCCAATGTCAGCAGCTATCAAACAATAGTGAATCATGTACGCAATCATACAGTAGGTGGCATTAAATGCCCGCATGTTTAACATTGTAATCGTGTAACGACAGATAATCGTCCCATACTGTCCTGCAAATGAAGCTGTACTGCAGGCATTTTGTTCTGCCTCTTTGAATATTAACAGTAATTATGTATTAACACGTGTATGTAAATACTATTACTATAAAACTATTGATTACTACAAATTCTTCTATTTACGTACTCGTTCGACTGAGGTGATGTCTAGTGGTTAGTAATCTTGACTGCTAAGCTAGAAATCGTGAGTTCTAATTCGAGGACAAATAATGCTGTTATAAGGTCGATTATTTATTTTATGTCTAGGTGTGATTATATTATTATGTTTTAAATTATGTATGTATTCATCAGCAATATGTCTACAGTATTACAGGCTCTGTCTAGTTTGGTATCAGACTGCCGTAAGTGAAATGTTTCAAGTTTTTATTATGGAAATTTAAAAAAAAAGGATAGCATTTCATATTTTATTTGGTCACTCTGTGGTCCAATTGTCCTTAGCCTTTAAAGAACCACTAATGAGTTAATAAGGTCATATCCATGTTTCATACATTTTACATAATGACATTAAGTAAACATAAGGTTACTCTGGCCGGAACTAAGGTACTTGTAGACGCAACATGACTAAGTAAAAATCCTAGTAATTACCTCGTTTTTTTATTACGTTCAGGAACTATGAAACTGACAATGTTTTTCTTTTTCAGAAGTAATAAAACCATTTTAGTGAGAACTTATCGTTTTAATATGTGTCGTTAATTCTTAAATCTTTATGCCAATAAATAATTTCAAAAAATAATTAAATATTCTATCTATTTTGTCAAAAAAGACAGCAAACAATGTCTCAAAACTGTAAACTTACTCACTTACACACACACTTACTTACTTGTAACTCTCACTTACAAATACACGGTAGTTAATTGAACTTTCGACATATTTTAATTTATATAAATATATACATGAACGTATTTAAAATTTAGCATTATCGAAATTCATTTCTTATATTAACACCTCATAATAAAAACACCTCAAGAAAAAAAGCGATTATCTATTCCTAGCTTTTTAAATTAATTAGTATTCTGAGTACCGTGTTTAATGGCAAACTTTCAACTACTTAAACAACCGTCTAAATTGAGTATTAATGTTAAAATGATATATCTGTTTATTTACTAAAGATTATCAACTTTTTATCGTACAAAGCTCAACGAGACCGCAAAGCAATGTTATAGCGCATTAATTATTAATGGATCAATAGGGCACGTGGCAAGTGGCACATCAACTAATCATAAATCATAGTTTTAGTGCAATGTAATGAACCTTACATTGTAGTATGTTTTATTTATTTGAAACTTAATGCACATGTTACAACAAGTGCATTATAGGCGGAGAAAGGCGGACTTAATGCCATGGGGCATTCTCTCCGGTCAATCTTCCAGTCAATCTTCAGGTGATGTATGAATATGATGCGGATTACGTTTAGTAGGTACCTATATCATACCCCTAAAACGTTTAAGAGTTGAAAGTTAAAGAAGCTGTACTCCCTAAGAATCTTACAATAATAACTAATAAAATAATATATAAATAATAAAAGATTTGTGTAGGATCCCGCCATTTCATCATCGAAACGTTATTAGTATTATTTTATTTATTTATTATTTTAAACCTCATATTAGAAATAGTAACTCAAAAAAAGTTATATCAGTTTTTTCCATGTAACTAAGTCAATTAATCTTGATAGACCAGTTTGACAGGAATTATAATCGCCTATCTGCTATGTTTGTAGAGGTAAGTAGTGGTTTGAAAAGTTAAACATGTGCCCAGCGCGATGTTTTTTCCAATTAGTATTGTTACATAGCAGTGAAGCGTGATATGTTGCCGTTCGATGTCCCCTGAGGCGGTAAAATTTGCATGAGCTAAGTAGGTCTGTGGAGCATCGCCTCAGGCTCTGCCGCGAGATTTGTGCGATCGCAGACTCCGTCAGTACCCGTTAGTCATTAGGACACACTGACCCCGATATGCTCACGCGGATCCATTATTTAAACGCCTCCATCAACAATCCTTGTGTATCGTAAAGAGCTTTCTTATTTCATTTTTACAAAAAGCTTAAAACAAACAATATTGACTTGCTACTTTTTACAGTTGATTTACAATGTTGTGTTAGCGTTTAGACCTCGCGTTTTCGAAGAAATCTTACTTAAATGAAACAATGATTTGCACGGAAACGGTCGGTGCGATATGTAGACTAAATGTAGCAGGTAAATTTACATTTGTACATGTACTACATTTTGGTTTGTGTAACAAACAATGGCCTCAGTATTGTATCCGTGTGTGTCAATGGCCTGGCCAGCGGCCTGAGCGCACCCAAAATCTACCAACGATTACTCATTGACGTGAACGTGGAGTTATTTGCATTCAATATGTAATTAGGAAGAATTTATTTTAATCAGAATATATTTAAAAAACTCGAGATCGATCGTGCTGGGAATATGATTTCATATTGAATTGACTAAAAAAATGCGTCATCACTCTAAAATTGTACTTAAAGTTTTATGAATACTAACTGTACCTACCCACTGTGAATATCTAACGCGACTGTAGTTCTAATGGTTAGCATTTTTTATTTTATTTTTCCACTTATTCCATATTTATATGCTTGATACGTTATTCGCGTTTTTGTTCAGTTTCATTCAGTTCACTATTAGTCAAATAGCGTAGTGCATTTCTGTACTAAAGTAACAGAAGAGAGTTCTTAGTTGATGTAACTTAATTTCCACTTAGAATTAAGTTATGTTTTAGAAAGTTACACATTTTCTATAATAATGTGAGCGTGAACGTGATTTACATATTTTTTTTAAATTAAATTCAATCAGTAGGTATTTACTAATAATGTAATGAATAGCTTCCGAGAGGTCAATCACACATTCATGGCGATCTCTTCGAATTAAACGATGATTTGCTTAACAAACTCTCTGAAAATATTATTTATATTTAGTATTATCTTGTATGGACAATAGTAAACATGGGCTTTTACGACCATTTACTGGGAGGATTAACAGTCATATTGTTGAATATTCCCCGGCGTAAGAGGGAACAAAGAGCGGTGGCGACTGCGTCGTGCGCGGTGCCAGCCGGAGATATGTGCGCATACGCATTGTGATGCAGAGCACGCTCCCGCCACTGCCACTGCCAATGCTCAAGGTTGTCATACCTCGAGCTCTCATCTTAACTGCTTAGACCAACATAATTTTTAGTCATATCTTTGAATTTAACTGATCTTCGTAATCCCTATTCCTTTTAAAACATTTCGGATTGCCAAGAATTGTACCTAATTTTGTTGCTGATATGCAGTCATTTTTTTTCTAAACATGCACCAATATCCAACAGATATACATATGTTATTAAAGTTTTGTAGGTGAGAAAAACATTTGATTGAAAGAGAAAAAAACTCTTGTGGATTGAAAACATAATCAAGAGGTTACGTTAAGTAAATTGAATAGTAATCTTATGAAAGTATTTATTTCGTTTGAATTTGAAACAAAGAAACACTTCTACATATGTAACATTACGAACTTTAGAATCTCAGCCTCCACGCAGAATGCGATTTAACCATGAGCCTAGTATTCTCCAAATTCATTCAACGATTTAAGCGGGAAGAAATAATACACATAAAAATATTTTGCTCGGGACGGAAATAATGCTACAATAGAAACTCCCAGTTTGAATAGTTTTTAGTCTCTCTAAAGACTTATTAGAGGTTCTAATACGTTTCTTTTTATCAAAGGGGATATAATAAACAATGGGTGGATAACCTTGCGATGATGAAAGATAATATAACGTTTGCAAGTACATTGTAAAAGATAAGGAAGGCTCAACAAGCAACTTATTAGCTTAGTGGGACAATACATGACGTGTTTATGGCATCAATTGTCATACCATAAAAAGGTTCTTTTACTTTTTATGCATATGTTCATCTCATTGAAAATAGGTCCGTCTGATGGATAACAATTAAAAACAAAACTTTTATTTACATAATGGCTACTATTGCTCCGAAAATTTCGTTTTATCCAAATATAATGCTTTGTAAACGTGATAATAAAAGAGTTAACTGAATTATACTTATAATACACCGAACCGCTTACACTATACGGCCCTTCATCAAGGCAATTTATGTGTAGTGAGTACGTCCTTCAAGTTAATACGTCCTTGGCAAAAATCAATGTTACTTCATAAGTAGTCAAATTACAATGTTTTTCTACACAGCTTCTTGTAAAAACAACTGACTGTTGAAGACTGAAACTTTCGGCCAGTCTCCCTACATTGTATGGTCCATGTCAGGAGCTGTCTGATATATTTAATTAGGAATTTTATTAAATTTAGTTATTAATTTTATTAAAATTAATTAGGAATTGATTTTAAGTATATATTTATATATATAATAATATCAGTGAAACATTCAGAAAATATTAAAAAATCCATTTAGAAATCCATTTCAAGTATTATATGTTTATATTCTTTGCAAAATTAAAAATACATTACGTATCTCTGTTCTTAGTCGAACGAGTTTAATAACACGTGTTTTATGCAAGTCGTTATCATAAATGTAATAAAATTATATATTTCGCACATTAGTTGAAGGCACATACTCAAACATAGTTAGACATCTTTCGTCTGAGAACAGAGGCCGATTGGATACTACTGTTTGGATACCGCCGACTGAATGTTATGTGTACTTTCAGATGTACTTAGCGCAGTATGGATACCTGAGTCCTTCTGTAAGGAATCCTTCAAGTGGCCACATCATGGATGAGAGCTCGTGGCGACGAGCTATTGCAGAGTTCCAAGGCTTTGCAGGACTGAACGCGACAGGTAAGCTATCCATCGATAATAAAGAATGTTTAGATGTGGATAGGGCTTAGAATTGGTAATACTGGTAATAGCCAGTGAGAGTAACAGTATTGCGACCTGAGATTTTCGAGCTATCATTTAAACTCCTCAATCCATCCGTATAAGTATGTGTGTAATACAATAATATTTATGACAACTGAGAGAAAGCAATAACTCCAGCCATGTTCGTAGTTAAAAACATCACTCTTGAAAACTAGCTGAAAACTAGCTGAAGCTAAACTGGTAGAAATACGTTTCTTACAAATAAACAATGTAAATTACATTGATTTAAAGGCTTTAGTCGTCTAAACGGACGATTTTTTCCCGAAAGCCTTGAAGATAAAAGCCCACCTGAAATCGTATTATATTGATTTAAATGCTATAAATACTTTGGAACTGCTTTTTGTTTACCAAAACAATTTTAGTCAAAAATGTTAATCGAATTCAGGTTGTGACGTACAGGTTAACTATTTAATTAGTAACGTCCTGTGTTAATATTATCACAAATAACTCAGTTCTGTAAATGTTATATGAAGGTTACGTTGTCTTTTAATATTCACGGGCTATTTAACTTTGATTAAATGGCATCAATTGTGGTTTGTGAAAGCTGAAGTCATTTATCCTTGTTGATTGTAATCTTATTTACGCAAGCCGCGCTATCCATAAATTACCTGCTTTGATTCAATAAAATTGGTTTGTGCTACGGGTGACAAATTTAGATTCAGTTTGTCAGAACTGTGTAAAAAGAGCATCCTACAGAGAAAAGACAATGAGGAAGATACTGTAGTGTATAAATCGAAGGTATCGCTATCAATCACTGTTAAGTTTTAAAGGTTTTTCTTACTTGATGTATATTGTCCAATGGCTCTTTTATGACCTTGGAGAAATAGCAAGTAATGTTGAACTACCTTGCTCGGTTGACATCGGTTTTTCTAAACTTTTCCGTCTAAAAATTACACAATTGCTGTAAAACTGGTATCTATAAAATATGTCTGAGGTAAGTCAATAAGCTTGCCCTATATGTTCTGTAATATAAAACATTATGATACATGCTGTACATGTAGTATTGTAAATGAATTATTTTTGTGATACGCAATAAAATAGGATTGCGCTATATTGTACATGTGATTTATGTGATGTAAACAAATAATTTTAATGCAAATTAAGTAATGGATATTAACTACTAGCTATGGCCTGGGGCTTCTCTTGCGTGATTACTTCCCTTTTCTTGTTTCTAATTTGGAAAATGATAATCGATCCATCCATTATTATGGGTTATACTCCCTTATGAGTGAAATTCCCAATCTGGTCTGATGGATCAGTCAGTCACTGAATGACTTTAAAATTTAATTAATTGTGTAATTTATTTCACTAGTTCAAATGAACTATGTGCTTTTTAAAATGATTGAAACTTGCTCTTGACTAAAATCTATTGTTTTTTTAAATCCAATTTTTAACATGTTTGTACCCATTCGCTAATTGACTATTTAACGAATTGTTAAAAAAAAGTAAATTGGCTGAGTATAAGATATTGTACGTACACATTCAGTCTATCTTAATGTTGTGAAACTGAATTACTCACTTCCAGTAGAAATTGCATTGCAGTGGAGGTATAACTATATAACTATTTGTATGCTATATACAGATATAAATACTTTACCATCAAGAAACCTATTCAGGAACTAATCCTTTCATGCTAGTTAATTCATACTCACTGTGAATATAAGATTTGTATAAACATTTTAACGTTAACCCTATTATCTTATTATCTACAGCCGGTTGTTAGTCTTTGTCCGTAGTCGGTCATCGAATAGCCTTGGTCCGTCCTCATAACAGTTATTACAATCACATACATCCAACCAATTTATAAGTCTGTGCGATCTTCACCAAGTATTTAAAGCGCTGGAATTATGTGGACAGAACTCGAATTGTCTTCGCTCATGTACGTGCCTTGACACGAGAAGTAGATTATTGGTCTTGACTATGACTGAAGGCAATGTTATTATGTAAGCATATAACGCACAGGCATATAAATACATAATTCATTATCGGTCAGTGCACGAGTTGGAACAAGCTGTCACTGACTTTATGTTATGATACGCCTTGGAAATAACGACGATGTTAAGTAGAAATTAGATACATATCAGTAGGCTTTTTCATTCTGAAGAAAAGTTGGTAGAGGTTCCAAAAACATGAATGTCATGAATATAAATCTGTTCTTGCTTTACACATACGTCATATATAATTCCTCTTCCTGTCGTGCTAATACTAAATCGGATAGAGTTTTCCTTATGGCATATAAATTTTACAAGTACATTGTTATTCCCCCTATCTATAAATGTAAATCGAAGCCAGTGATGAATTCCAAGTTGTTAGCTGATAATCCGCAGTCACACCGGCCGGTGCCGTAGTTCCTGATTATTTAACATTTTTCGCCTGCGGTTTTGGTCGATGTATTTGTATAATGACTTCCTCATCATTGGATGTTACAAAAAGTCTATGTTAGTCCTTTGACATGCAGTAGCGTTTAATGTCGTTAACGACAATTTAAATGGAATTTAAAATACTCTGACGCACGCAGTTTTTTTGTGACACTCAGTACTTTAACATCAGGATGATTACCTCGAATAGTTATTTAGATATTGTTCTTTATAATTTCTTCATATAGTTTCAATTTCTGTGAACAGGTGAATTAGATGAAGAAACGACTAAAACGATGTCATTACCAAGATGCGGTGTGAGAGATAAAGTTGGTTTTGGAGAGAGCCGTGCCAAGAGATACGCATTACAGGGTGAGTGCTATTATTACTTTCTAACGAATTCATCGGCAAGAATATATTCGACCGCATTTTAATTGGAATAATTGAATATAATGAGTAAACTAAAAATGGAACTCGCTTGTTATTGATAGTATATTATGATATTACAGTTCAACCTCTGTTTCTTTAGGTTCAAGATGGCGCGTAAAGAACCTTACGTATAAGATCTCGAAGTACCCGTCAAAATTGAACCGTGCTGAGGTGGACACCGAGCTTGCCAAAGCCTTTTCAGTGTGGTCGGACTACACTGACCTTACTTTCACTCAAAAGAGGTCCGGACAAGTCCACATTGAAATCAGGTGAGCCTTTATGAAACAGCCCGAAGTCAATTTTCTATTTCGTCATTCCATTATCTGATATCAAGGTAGCTTAACTTATTATTGCAAAACGTTTTGCGTTGAATGTTGTTTCCCCTACTATACTAGACTGACACGAGCTATCATTGCATGAAAACATCTGAAGAATGACGGTTGGATATTTCATACAAAGGAATTAATTTGATTTGTCAGAACGTTGTATGAAACTTGTGAGTTGTAAGCTACCGAAACGGTGGTTATGAAATACATCGTTACGGTACTGAAATAGTGTCATAGAGAATTGACACAATACATAACATAATATTATTAAGTTTAAGTGTTTAGTGTATGAATATAAACAAATTCATACACTTGCGAAACGAATCAAACTTTGAGTTTTACTATTTTATATTCGGTGTCATTCTGTTTACGGTAACCGTTTAGATCAGTACGCAATTATGTCAATGCTGTATTGTGGAGAGTTATTTGAATCAGTAATAATATGTTTTTCGTCACAATCCGAGGGTAATCTTTGTTGTGTAATGTTGAATGATTGTCATTGAGCGACTCGTAGCACACGTAACTACACGTACCTAACGTCAAACTGTAGGAATGATTAGTTTTTGTTTTTGGATCTAGGCATCTATACTATATAAATAGGAGTAGTATTTGCATGTGGTATAGTCCCGCATTGATATCACATTATCAAATGCCATATATGTTCGTATAACAAGTACTATAGTATACGCAATAGTATACGCATATATAAGAAATCATGTGTTCCGTAATTAGACAAGAGAACAATACAGTGATCGTGACTTCATAACAATCAATATTGTTTTAAGATAACCATTTACCCTTAGAGATAATTTCAAGGTGTTTAAGATAGCAGCTGGACTCTCCCAAAAGTATGTGTAAATATTAGGTGGATACCTATGGCTAGCTATGACTCATTTCTGGCCATGAGCCTTCTCTTTCACAGCCTATGAACCAATTAACTTAAAGAGTAAGATATGTTTATGTAATTTCAGAGAATTTGTTTAAAATGCATGCCATTTTTTTTTTAATTTGAATACTATTTGTATGAAATAGCTTAACTTCTTTGAAGTTTTAGTGTTTACTATAATCTATTTTATCTATTACTTACGTGTAATAAAATTTTAGGTTCGAAAAAGGAGAGCACGGAGACGGTGATCCATTTGACGGTCCTGGTGGCACCCTTGCCCATGCTTATTTTCCAGTGAGTATATATTTCTGTATGGCTTTCATTGTATTGATCACACTTTCTTATGTATGTACGGACATACAACAAAAGTCTTAATACATCAATTTTTAATTCGTTAAAAATCTTTGATGGCTGATATCAAAGCTGGGCCTTTTCCTATGCTATGAATAATATTGAAAAAAACTAATTTATTTTAAAATTTAAATCAATCGCAAGACTAATTAAAAAAAACCGAAATCCGGGCAATATTTAAGAAACTAGTTAAAAATTAAACCGAATCCCTGAAAAACCTTACCTCATTTTTTTTTAAATGTGATAAATAGTTGTATTCTTAAAGATTACAGGAAAATCTATAAGTAGTCTGAAAATAACATGGTATAAAAATCCTATCACTGAGCGTATTTACTAACTTTTGCAGTGCAGCGCACAGAACGTAGTTTTTTTAATTTTTGTGTAACCCCTTTAAAAAAATAAACACAGTATACGCTTAACGTGATCTGTTAGTAACATCAGCAAATCTATGCGTGTACGTATATGTACCAGGTAGTTATGTAAAAAAAACATCAGTATTTATTTTAACTAACATGAGTTGAGTCATATTTCCTGATGCGTTAGCCATATGCCAGCAATGCACAAGCCATGTACCACAGCACACCACAAGTACCTACACCACATAATGGTACTACGAATAAAAATAACGGATGTAACAGATGGTTCTATTCAGTGAAAGTACATTTGTATTGCTAATGTGATAATCAAGCGTTTTGTTAGGCGAAACGATTTATAAATAATACTTTAAATACATTTTAACTGTAATTCTATGACTCTATTATAGTTTACTGGACTAGACAGAATAGAAAGGATTAGAAAAAGATAAAATGGTAAAGAAAATAATTAATATATTACGACTCACTTAGTATAAAGCTTCTTGGACAAAGCAAACGAGGGTCTTCTATAAGCCCGCAAAGCGATATAACTTATATGTATATGAGGAAGAAGGGTGTTTTCCGAAATTTTGTATAATAGAACGTTAAATATTATACCGATGCCAACTCTCTGATTATTACCGGCTTGACGCGTCAACCTTCGGCTTTTTTATTCAACTAAGGAAGTGCAAAACGAAATTTAAATAAAATAATTCGTGTCATCTAACCATCTTCTTTAGCGCTTTAATTTTACCAATAACCAAAAAAATAAAATAAAATAAATAAAGTAATTAAAATAAGTGGCTGTGTCTATAATGTGTCTCACACACATTATAGACACAGCCACTTTAGTGTAGTCTGGAGTCTGGAAACGTCTTTTTCATTTTATTTTTACGGCTTTATTTCATTATTTTTTTTTGGTTATTGGTAAAATTAAAGCGCGAAGATTACTTCTAACCGTGGTAATCCATACACAGGTGTATGCACATGTGTATACGAATAGTTTATATATGTGTACTATGAGTATACTCGTTACCAAATAATTGAGTTTTCAGACATTCTCATGTTTCTAATCTTTTATGTACAACGAAAATAAAGTATAAAAATGTATCACAATATTTTAGACTATCCTAAACTGACTGACTAAACACAATGAAAGCGTACAAACAAGTGCTGAGTGAACTAAACTCAAAATACAACAAATCGCTATACGGTATTCCTTAGTTATTAAAAAGATTGTAACCCTATCAATCAACTAAAGACTATTTTCCATAACCGTAGTGTACCCAAATCATTATTGAGACTATCGATGTTATAACAAGATATTGTAAGTTATTCATTTGATTAATTACAAAGAACTGTGTACGTGCAGTTCACAAAGGTATTGCAACAATATAATGATTATTGATTCATCGGTAATGATGCTTATTTTTTTAAATCTCGTGTTTTTGCGCAGGTGTACGGAGGCGACGCTCACTTTGATGACGCCGAGATGTGGTCCATTAACTCGAGGAGAGGCACCAATCTGTTCCAGGTAATCAATGCATAAAAATTGCTCTTAAATAGTAGCTCCTTAATATCATAAACCTTATCGAATGCTTCCGTATGTTTTGTTAGAACGTTTTTATTATCTCTCCATTGATGGAGCAACTACGACAAAATATTTTATTCTTAATGCTATTGCACATCATCATGTACATCATTTATATAGATATAAATGATGTACAAAAAATATGTAAAATCTACATCAAAGTGATCGAAACCGCGAAGTGTACAGCTGGTTATTATAGTCAGGTATTGTACCTATATTTAAATCTCCGTTATATTTACTTCACGTTATGTTATTTGACTAACATCTTAATTTGTTAAACTACCGGTTAGCACAAATTCACGTATTGATGATATCGCTAATTTCAATGGCAGGTAGCAGCTCACGAATTCGGTCACTCGCTAGGGTTGTCTCATAGCGATGTGCGTTCAGCTCTCATGGCTCCCTTCTACCGAGGATACGACCCCGCCTTCCAACTCGACCAGGATGATGTTCAAGGCATCCAGGTTAGTACACTAGTTAATTAGTTTTTCATTCTAATGTTACGTAATTTAATACAAATGAAATAAATAACAAGTCATTTATTTATTACTAACTGTACCATGCCACGCTTCCCTGTGGCACATTGTGCCTGCATTGATGAGAAATGAGGAACAAAACTAACGCAAAAGATACAGACAAATCATCATCATCATCACCAGCTTATTGCAGACATAGGCCTCTCCTCCTATGCATTGAAGAAAATAGAATACTGTAAATATGAAATTAGAAAACTTTAACTCTAGGAAGAGGTTTACAGACATATACTACAAGAAAAACTTATATTGTGTAGTTAATGGATGTTATATAATAAAATAATAATTAGAGGCCTGAGATTGGTTTCTAACCTATTTTTTCACAATTATAACCAAAAACGACCATGTAAATGAAACTTTTTAAAACTTCCTAGGCTCTCTACGGTCACAAGACGCAGACAGATATTGGGGGGTCCCTCCCAGTGCCTTCTGTCCCGCGAGCGACCACGCAGCAACCCTCTGCCGAAGACCCCGCGTTATGTGCTGATCCCAAGTTTGATACCATTTTCAACTCTGCTGATGGAGGCACTTTTGTTTTCAAGGGTATGGCTTCACATCTATATTCTTATTTGTCTGTAACTTCAATCATAGAAATACGAGATTTGTAAAAAACATTTTTAATTTTGTGTCGTACGTTTGTATGTCCATAGGTCATATCAGAAACCACTTATCTATTTTTAAAATTCTTTCACAGAAGGGTACATATCTCAGATTATATTATGGATTATATCACAGATAATGGTATAATTTAAATTTATTTAGACACTGGACAAATAGGTTATTCTAAGAATTAATTTGATGTAATGTGACTTATTTTACACATTATTTTACTTACAGGTGAACACTACTGGCGTCTAACAGAAGACGGGGTGGCATCTGGCTACCCCCGCCTTATTTCCCGCGCCTGGCCTGGTCTACCCGGCAACATTGATGCTGCCTTTACATATAAGAATGGCAAAACATACTTCTTCAAAGGCTCCAAGTACTGGCGATACAATGGACAAAAAATGGACGGAGATTACCCTAAAGATATTAGCGAAGGTGAATGTTGAACCTATTTTGTTAAGCAAACATTTATTATTATTTTTGCTAATTTATACTAATAAGCACATTTCTATGCATTGAAGAAAATAGAATACTTTAAATTTGATTTTTTTATTTATATTTCGAACGACAATAAAATATTTAACATATACAAAGCGTAATACGAATTAACACGTTATTAAATGTATTCATCATCTGCTATATCTTATAAATTGCCTACGATTATGTATTCAATTGAAATATTCAAATTTCAGGATTCACTGGTATCCCAGACAACCTTGATGCTGCTCTGGTATGGTCAGGAAACGGCAAAATTTACTTCTACAAGGGTTCTAAATTCTGGCGATTTGATCCTGCTCAGAGGCCGCCCGTCAAGTCTACATACCCTAAGCCTCTATCCAACTGGGATGGCATTCCTGATGGCATCGATGCTGCTCTTCAGTATACTAATGGATATACGTACTTTTTCAAGGGTGGCTCCTACTGGCGGTTTAATGATAGAACGTTCGCTGTAAGTGTATTTCCCATTGATGCATTACACAAATATTCGCAATGACGACATCGTCCAACCTAAAAAATATTCTTTTAAGTTCAAACAAATGTAAAAGTAGACAAGGTATGGGTCTTTTTACATTGATTTAACACAGTCTTTTAATATTTGCAAAGAAAGCATTATATAAATTCAAAGTATTTCCTAAATTATATCGCTAATCTCATGAAAGGGAAATTAAACGTGTCATAGATAGACAAAGAAACTATTTAAAAAGTAGTTTCCTGTGGTCCACATTACAGGAAAGTTCTGAATGGACTCTGAAAGCAATATCATCGTAGTTGGGATGGTCCGTTTAAGGCACATATTCTTTCTATTCCGAGATTTGGCATAACAATTGGCCTCATTTTCCATTCTAAATATTTTTAGATCTTGTATGACACTTGATAAAATATTAACAGTTTAATTTTAATTGAAATTCTTACTTAAAATGGTATCTATAACGTAAACATTTTGATGATTTCTATCCAGGTGGACACAGACAATCCAGCTTTCCCTCGATCAACAGCATTTTGGTGGTTGGGCTGCAGCAGCGCGCCGCGTGGCACCGTCGGAGGTAACGCGCGCCTGTCGCACGCTCCGCCGTCATCCGACGACGACGTCGGCGATATTCTATTCGACGCAGGTAGGGGGGTCCTGGATGTCGCCTTGACGGAACATGACACAAAGACAACGACTCATAATACGAACTGACTATCACCCTATTATAGCAAAGACTCACTCTAAAAGTTATTGTTAGTGATAAAAATATGCGATGAAAATTGTGAAATGAAAAAAGTGACAATATTTGATTGCAGTATAAGTAAATGCTGCAGGCTGTCTTCAAAAAACAGAAAGAAATCAATTGCAACGCAATTAAGCAATAACCCCTTCGACAATGATTTTGACTCATCTTTTTCAACATTTACTTAAAATATTTTTTTATGTTGATTCAAAATTGGCATTTTAAAAATAGAAAATATAATTAATTTCCTTACAACGAAAAGACGAAGACTTAATGACTTTTTTTTTTCATTTCAAATAAGGGACTTCAACCGCTCGTCGATTCCACTGTTACATGTTAGCTGTTGTGTCTATGTGAATGAAATTGTTTGTGTCTATTAGTTGTACATCATTTACTCTTCTCGTAAAACTATTAAGTGTCATAGAAAAAAACTACATTTTAAAACAAACCTATTTCTTGATTTGGTTTTAACTTAAACCAGTGTTGTTATTCTATAAATTTCTTTCTAATTAATTATAGTTCGTAAGTTAACTTTCCTTTCCCATCTACTAACAAATTTACTAATAAACTTTAAGATTTCGTGCAGACTAACAATAAATAAATTTGCAACTAACTCTGGTAAAAGCAACTGCTAATATTGACCCAGTTCAGCTTTTAATAAATTAAATAATCTGCTTGTGTCGCCTTAAGTTAATATTAAAAGATTTACTATTTTGTGCTAACTTCGTGGTGCTTATGGGAAAATGCAGTGACAGACGGTGGCCGGTCCCTGTGACCTGACGACTACGCGGCTTCTGGGCGCCTCGAACCTACCTGCCGTTGTTCAACTCGTAGCAAACGTTATAATAAAAATCTTATAAAATATATATCACTGTTTTCAAAATTTTTGTCTTATAAAGTTTGTCTCGAGTTACAACAACGAAATAAAAATAATGCAATATCTTTGATGAATTCAAATAGTCTCACTTTGCAATGCAAGCGAAATACTTTACGGCACAAGCACAAAGCCTATAAATTTAATAGTTAAAGATCAATAATACACCCAAAGTAATAATAAAAATATTTGCAGAATCGACTTTTAAGACGCTATAATAAGGAAGAAAAACCCAAATTTATTATATTTAATATTTAAGTTTAATAAATTCCATCAAGTCGATTCAACAAATGTTTCTTTTAAATTCACTTTGTATGTTAAATGTTTGCACCTAAATTTATTTGTGTTTATCACTGTTTTGTTAATGACACAAAAGAAAACAGTCACCGTGTTTATAAACTGATAATACATTAAAATCGGTGGCTGGGCGTGTCCACGTCTCGATGTGTGTGTTTTGTTTCTAGGTGTAAAATCATCCGTTCCCCGATCATTCTTCTGGTTCAGGAAATAGCCTCAGTGAAGTGTTCCTGATTATTGTATATAGATTACATAAAGAACAAAGACTCAATTAGTTACATACAATATAAGCAAAAACCAGTGAGATTATAGAACATAAGTGATTTTAGTACCGGCGAGCTTGTCACGAGCTGACTGTACGTTCTACTTCATTCCACCTTTGCATGTTTACAGCATGTTAGTTAGTTCGACGTGCGATGTAGTGCACGGAAGTGCTTGGTTTGTACCTATATTTCATACAAACAATGCTTTGCTTTGCTTGCCTCTATTTGAAACACTGCCTGCGCAACGGTAGGTGAGTAGAAGCAACAAAGTTTGGTGCAGCGTATTGCAGTCTTGGTATTTTAAGCTCGTATTTAGATATCATGTTATAATTATCTCCTGTACGCTGTGCCTTACTGCGCCGTTTACTCACCTCTTACCTGCTTGCTCTTAATCATAATTCATTTTTATATTATTCTGGGTTTCGTTATTTCTAACTATCTATAAAACATAAATTAGATCACAAATAGTAGCAGCACAACAGGGATAGTTAATCATACTTAAGTAACAGCATTTGATGTTAAACTCGTCGTTTCCAGGGTTATCGAAGCATAAAATAAATGTAATCGTATTGAGAATGTAAACGATTGCATTCCTGAAATTAAGACGAAATGAAGATGAGCACTAATGTAAGATTTGTTTTAGAATAACATTTGTAACATTACGGCATATTTTAACAGTGTCTTGTCACGTTTTGCTACACTGTGAAAACTAACATCACAAATTTTGGACTGAAAAAAGTCATAGGACAATTTATAAACTGAATACTTAGTTATTCACAAAATAAAATATTATATTTGGTGAGACATAAACTACGTCTTCTTTCTTGGTATGCATGTTGTTTGATAGGGGAGGATCCGTAGGTATTAGTTTCTATTTTTTGTAACTAACACAGCGTGACGCATGTAACTTACTTTACGTAAACCTAAATATATATTATTATGTTAACAAAGTAGTCTACTTTTTGAGAAATATTTAATACAAAGTGATAGAGTAGGTAGAATGCATGTATAAATCGCGGAGTAGATATTAAATAAATTGTATATAGTTTGAGTTTAGTGTGGCACTAGGGTATCGGTTACGGTGAACTAAAGTAATCTTGCTAAAGACAAGTTGATGTTTCAGTGATCAGCGTTCAGTCTGAAGGGGCTAGACTGTAACATGTGATTCACACGTGGCCCCGATCCGCTTCATATATAAGGAGGGCATTACGTCCTCCGCCGCGACTTCACTCATCCGCATCTGTAGGTTTATTTTAATTTCATTATGATTTTACACCGTTAATTCCATTTAGTGAATGAAAGCGATTAATGGAATTTGCGGTGGTGGTACTGCCACATACGACACAGATCATTGTTTTCGTTTTAATGTATGTTGAATGTCGTGCACTTGTTATTTTAATTGTTATCACTCACTTAATGTTTTTGTACCACAATATTGTACAGTGGCACATAAGCACTTGGAGCGAACTGAGGGAAGTTAGCAAATAGCATTATTGTCTATGTGTGCAGATGGTGCGGAGTCTTCCGGCGACGGTAACCGAAACAGCGCTGGAGTATCCAGAACTTCGCTGTCGACACTAATGGTCCTGCTGACGGTTTTAGTGGCAGTACGAGCCTAGCGTATCCAAGTGCCCTTGAGCGCTTCCAGGCGCTTTTACTCACCTCCGAGCGCTTTAGAGCGCTTCCAAGTGTTGCAAGCTCCGGGCCACGTTCGGACCGCGTCACGGACTGTGATCGTGTTGTGTGTGCCTGTTCACGTTCGGTATATTGTGTATAGCGAACGTCTTATTGTGATGATGAGGACACTTTATTATACAGTTGCGAGAACGATAATTTAATGCGAAGTCATAGTTTTTATACTTAATATAAATAGATGATGTAAGCTCGAGTGTGATATTGAAGTAAGCAATAATTTTTTATATTAAAATATTTAAAGATACCTTTTCGTTTTTTTTTTATTTCTTTCCTCAAGAGAAAACAAAGAACTTTTATAGGATCTCTTTGTTTTCATCTGTCTGTAAGGACATTCTTTTTGTAGCCAATAATAATAATTTTAACCAATTTGAACATTTCCTAGGTATGCCAAAATGATAATAATAAATAATTTAATTTACACTTAGGAATCTATCCTATTTAATCTTTATATTTACACAATAATAAGTCATGCTTTCTCTCTACATCATGTAACTCAGATACTACTGATATATGTAAATGTTCTCGAGTTCTTCTGGCTATACTGCATATTATTATCCCAGGTGAGCACACTTACGTAACGAATCAAGCACGTAAGATACCTGCGTACTGCCGAGCTCACACAACTTGGCTGTTATATCCGGCTTTTGTTATTTTCTTGACATAGCCCTTAGATTTACGAAATTTGAGTTTTTAAACGATATGATAAGAATACCTTAACACATATCACACACGGCCGTTTAATCCTCAAGTAGGCAGAGCCTGTACTCTGGTAACCAGACTGCTGATAAACATACTTATATCTGACTTAATACTTAGATAAATAACACCCAGATACCATCTGTATGCTTGAAACAGAAGGTATATTTTATCCCCCTGATGGTACATGATTGGGGTAGTATAAGTTTTATAAACCATAGCACCATTGTTATAGATAAATCGCTTACTCATTTCTCGCCTGTGGGGTGCAGAGCGCGCATTCTTCTTTTGTTCGAGAGACCGCAACCTGCATGTACACCACCTGCCTACGCACTCTAGTTAGTTTAATTCGACAATATATTTGTTAATGCCTATCCTAAATCTCTTAAACGTTAAACAAACTAATATCTACTATCTAATACGCTATCTAAATGACAGGTATTAGATAGCTTATTGGAATCACTTCGGATGTACCTGCAATCGATAACACTTCTAATATTATCCCTGTTTCTGTGCAATCTATAGAGATTGCACAGAAAAAGGCTTGCATGATAAATAGTATTTTACACAAATATGAGTCTATGCTAATTCGTCCCACAGGATTTATTGAACATAAATCCTAATAAATCATAAACCAATAAAATATGATTATAATTTAGTAAAGCATAATATGCTTATGATATTTTTTTTATTTAGTTAGTTATGCCGAGGCTCTGTCCGCGTATTTGTTGGTTATCGCGACCAAAAGTAGCCTATGTAACTTCTAAGGGTTCAAAGTTTCAAATCAAGTCAATTCCTACCAAATATGTAGAAACTTTTTGATAAGTAACATTACCGTTTCATTTTTCGATAAAACTAATACCACTATCAAAACGATCTCTAAAAGAAAAACATTAAAAAAGTATACAGGAACAAACAAAAATCTCCTCTTTTTAGCTGTCGGATAAAAATCATAATACAAAATAAATCAGCCTATTTAACTGAAAATCATTGTGAAAAACTAATATCCTGGATACCTATAGGTAATATTACGATCTCGAATGAATTATAAAACATTGGATACATCACTATCGCAACCACATGTGAACCGTGACTTGACTTCAATATTTTCATGCACGATGTATCGAAATATTCCTGCAGGAAATGCAGTTTATTGCGTGCTCTCATAGTTACAATATAATTAGTATTCAACTTTATGATTCAGTGTATAACTATTTTAATAACGGTTTTCTATCTTAAATTAAATAATATTTTTTGATTTTTTGTCAATATTACTTAAAAACAAAAGTGTTTTTGGACTTTCCGATGATATGATATATTTCTTTTGTACAAATTACGGTCCTGACTTCTTTTTCTAGACGTAATTATCACACATCTCTGCGTAACGACAATTTTTGCACGCTGCTACGGTCCCGGCGTCCGTACGAATATTTTGTGTGTGACTTACGCACGCTTGCTCGGAACTTTCCCCTGCCTACATCGCATTCCTACTTTATTGTGCGGTAGATTGTGTTATATAATAGTTTAAAGAATTAAAGGAAGTTAATTTTGACTATATAAAAATTTGAAACATTAGTTTGGTTCTAAAACAGCTAATAAGAGCAATATTATGTGGGTAACATCTGGGTTCCGCTAATCTATACTAATATTATAAAGAGGTAAACTTTGTGAGTTCATATGTTCGGGGTAATCTCCAGTACTACTGAACCGATTTTTTAAATTATTTCACTGTTAGAAAGGTATATTATCCCTGAGTGCTATAGACTACCTGTTACAGCGATAACCACCATATATGCGGGCGCAGCCACGGGCAAAAGCTAGTGTTCTATAAAAAGCTTTTGACAGTTAAAGTGTAAGTGTAAATAATACTCTCGCTAGTATTTTTAATCGGTTTATTTAACGTTTTTCTGGTTCTCCAATAATTCCTCTTAAGTTAGTAATTACAAGTTTATATGACAATATTTTTCGTTTTTATTCCATTTTCATAAACGTACTTTTTTAATAAACATCTCCACAATTCATCATAACACGGTCGTGCGACCTACTGTCTCAATCGTTCTAACTCTTAGGAAAATGCAAATAATATTAAATTTCAAAATCTGTCTACGATTATTCGAACGTGATTAACCTTACTTCGAGTGTCGAACGATGTCTACATGCGATCGCGACGGTGGGGCGGACTTCGCTGCCGCTACGCAGCCTACGACGTAGACGCGTAGCGGCTCGCAAACCGTGCCGGTCGTCTCCACCCTTGACTCGTCGCCGCACACTAACACTTTATAATGATTTAGAAGGCATAACATAAGAATTATTACACGATCACTACTCGAGAAACACCTACGACACATCCTAGATCATATCAATATATCGAGCTCGCATGCTGTGGCAGTGTTGGCCGGGCCGCGACACGCCCGCGCTGGCTCCCCGCTCCCTCTCCGCTCTCCCTCGAGACTGTCGCGGCGCGCCGCGTCCCGCGCTCCCAGTCAACCTCTAACCCTTGTAATCATTATGAGTTAACATTTTATTCTACGCTACCTCTCTCACTATGAATTAGGCATTTTAATGATATTATTTATAGAGATTAAAATTATGTTCAAAGCAGTCCTGTGGACAGATCGAGTATTTTTAAATATAATCACTCTCCAACAGTGCAATCCTAACTACATACTTTACCGAAACCATATTAAACATAATACGCGTAACTTGAGGTATGGTGCCTTTAAAGTCCTCATAATCATACATATATTTATATGATCTAGAACTCATTAGGAATAAATAGGACCTTTACGTTTTTGTACAGAAAACGTTAGAACTTAATTGTTACACGTAATCACACGTTCTCTGGAAACTAAACAGTACATCAGGTCATGGGCTACAACTCCAATCTAGAGCCAACGTAACGCTATCAACATAACACAAAACATTTATTTTTAAATGGAAATAACACTAATTACATACATTATATTTATACTAATTTATGAACAGACATTGAAATCAAACAAATAAGTAGATAAACCGTAGGCATTTGTAGTCGATCTTAACTTAGTGTGTGTTGAACACACAGGAATTTTGTCTATGAATTCAAGTATCTTCAAACTCGAACGGTTGTCCGTATAAAATTTTATTATCGATTTCAGTAGTACATTTGATATTTATATGCAAAATTGACAATGCTATTACGATTTAACTGCACTATATATTATTGCCGTGAAGTTAATATTAGATCTATTTTCAATGGACCTTATACATTTATTAAAAAAAGAAAAATTGTTTTAGTTGGCATATAATAATATAAAGAATATAATTCTATATGGCACTATTTTTCATAGAACAAGGCTTTGTAGTTGTGTAAAACATCTATAGTTTATCTACATATCTGTGTATTAAAAGACCTGGCATGATATGAAACAATAAGTATAATTTCATCCAAAGATTTAGAATAAAAGTGTCATCTGAAGAGAAACTTTCGGGGTTGAATTACTCATGAATCACTTACTTATGAAGTTTCGGATTAAAATAACGTACAAATTGTTAAATCTATTTATATGTAACTTTGTCACCATCATAAGATCTTTGATACATTAATTGTGGCTTAATTTACTTAACTTTTTTCTAACTGTAAAATCGAAGGCCATATCGATCTACTATTAGTAGCACGTCATGCACAATTTTATGGATTCAATTGTTAAACGATAAACATAAAACGGAACATTCAACTACACATTACAAACACAATTAACGCATACAGCCATAATACCGCAATGTTCCCTATTCATGAAGTTGCTTCAGATATTGTTCTGTTCTAAATACGACAGATATTCAAATTTTCTCGTATTCGTTGGAATTTATTAACTGTATACAAAAAAAAAGCTGTATTACAAAATCTCAATCGTGAATCATATTCGTTGTTTTTTAAAGATCAGTGTGGTATTAAAAGAAAAAAATGAACTTATAAAGGTCGTGTTATATACTACCTTTTAAACTATCGTGTTCCATATTATAGAATTTACACGCTCAGTCTGTGACGACGACTTATTGTGAACGCGTAAATTATCTTAAACATAATTATATGTCGTGTAATAGATTGCAATCACCTATTTTATTTGTGAATCCATGGCACACTTACGATCTCAATGACTATGTATATTTCTATAAGATTTTCATCGGTCTAGGAACTATCATTTATAGCTATGCACTAGTTTCATGGCACTGTTTATCACGCGCAGATATTGCTGGCGTCAAATATTTCACCGACAGGTGCTCAAGCTGCTTATATTTAGGACGTCGTGAAAAGAAATGTATTCTAAACTGAACATTACAAAAATCTTACTTCTTTGAGAATATTTATGAGTAAGCTTACCGTATCGCTTACTACTCAAACAAAGCATAATTGTAATGCAAATAATGGGTTCACTTCATTATTGAATTGACTGATTTTCGAACCGATAATCTCTCAGCATTTAGAGAGAAGTTACATAATCTTTTAATACCACAGCCGAGCCACGACTTATATTTTATACCCCTAAATGTAGAACCATCTACTGGCAGTCAACAAATAATAATTATAATACCTCGTATGAAACACAAACAATACACGGACTTAAGTACATTTAAATAAAATATAAAAGTACTAGTGCAGATGGAGTGCTTTAAATATGCTTAGTGCATATTTTTTATTTATGATACATCTACAATATACTTATATAAATATTGTTTATCAGATGCAGTTGAATTACCGATGTACATACACATTTTCATTGCACTTGAAACATACAATATTAAGACAGTATCAGCCACTATTGAAAACAAATATCAATAGGTTTGTTCTAATCGATAACCCTTTCATCGATACTAACTTGTCCCCGCGAGAAATGTTTTAGGTAAACATTTTTAGCCGATCTGTTTTTCTTAATAATACTTTCTTGATTATTGAAACATGTTCACCATCTTCGAAATGAAAGTATCAATGAAAAAGTTAAACTGTCCTAATGTAGAAACGTATTTACTATATACTGCACAAGTAGAAACTTATAGAAAATACAATAAGTCAATCTAGTTATTTAACCTATTATGTTTAAACTAATATTTCCAGAGGTTTCGTGTAAAGGCTACGATTTGGTGTTTTGCTTACATCTCTATATGTATGTTGAGAGTTATTATTATGTAGATAAATATACATTAATGCTTAATCATCGATGAACGACCCCGAAAGCACATATCTCTGTTTGCTTTGTGCGTGTGTGTGACAGTCAACTGAGTCGCCGCGCAACCTAACGTGAGGAGCTTAACATGTTGAATAGTGGGTGCAGTTAATACAAGAAATATTTTATAATATACGTGAATGACCACTGGGAACGACAGTCATAGCCGCAGAAACTGGTACAAGCTTGCGTCTATCCCGCCGCTACCAATGTGCAAGTACAGGGTTAAACAGTTCAACACAATATGAATGAGATGAACGACAGACAAACGACCCATTTTTCGTTAGCAGACGGAGTACGGTAGTTCCTACTTGCATATTTCCTATCGATTACTTCCCAGTTACGTTTTACAGCTAAATACATAAGTTTTCGTACACTGCTTTAAATATTCAGCATTCTTTTTCATATTATTTGTGCGTTAAACATTTACACTTTATTTATGTACATCAAAACATACGTATATTAATTAAAAACATAATATTACACCATCACCAAACGTTCAACGAAACATTAAGAATACACCCGTTACACTAAACCTAGAATGGGAATGGTGTGGTGTGTCGCAGCTTGCGGGTGTGCGACCTCTCTATTTCGCTCCTAAAGCTCACCATCGCTCCGCATCGCATCGCGGTCCTCGCTCACCACATTATTTTGGTTGATATTTACTACCAATTATTGCTAATGTCGCCTCTATACTAAAACCATCTTCCCAACAGGAGGTAACAATTTGTAATGACTTATACATAACAATTCAGGAATGCATACCGAGTGTTGTGAAGATACGAATTGTGCGGTGGCTGTGTTGTAGTGTAGTCTAAAGCCTCGATTACACACGTGTAATGTAAATGAGATGAACACCCCTGTCAACCTGTTGAACCAAAACGCTAACCGTACATAACATCCGAACCGCTCCCTTGGCCTTTCACTATCTACTCTAATTAAGTGAACGATAGAAGATATCGATAGTGTACAGTGGTGACACTCACAAGAAGAAATGCACGGTCAATGTGTAAGTTTTAACGAGTGCTCGAAATTGTTCCAATTAATTATGTTCTAGTAATTCATTTTCTATTACTAAATTTAGACACCTTGACAATATATATCGATACACGTAGATATCGTGAAAGAGCACCTACGCAGTAGAGCAACGATTGACTTGAGAAAGATTTCTTGATTATTATCAAAACATTCTGAATCTGACTCACTGACAAAGAAATTAAGTTGATGACTTTACCTACAATTGTAGACCAATTCTTAAAATATATCAAATAAAACCTTTATAAAATTTAGTCAAATATATAAATTTTGACTCTAGAACGGTATAGTACATTTGGTTGTGTGTTTTTTGCAAATAATCGATATTAAACTTTTTATTGTTAACAGCTCTCAAATCTAAACCTACTATAAAACTCTCTTGAAGAGACTATAACTATGATTCTCAACATTTTACTTCCAACTGTGGTTACTGAACGAAACGACATTATACGTGCACGGGATACTACACTACTTATCTTGTTCCATCAGTCACAGCGTGAAACATGATGAATAATACATTATTTGATAAAATTAATGAAACGTTAAAAAGATAATGAACCGTTAATCACTGAGTGCGTAACGAGAAAAACTTAGTGCGTAGAGCTTGATGCCAAGAGTACCTACCATTATTATAGTGGACGCGCGACGCTTTCACTTCGACACAAGCGAAGGCACTGGGGATCAACAGCGAATTAGACATTCGATTGAAACAATAACGACCTACTGATCCATTTTATCGCAATTCCGCACACACTATATTCAAATATACCTAATCTATTGGAGTTAACCCCACTGAAGGGAAACTGTCACTTGAAATATGTACTATGAAAATATTGGCTAGGTTCTGTAGCCTAGGTAGAAGTGATATGAGTGTGGGGGCGTCACGCGCGGCGTCGTAGCTTGGCGTCGAGAGCATCGAGGTCGGTCGGTCTCATGCCCGTCGCTACGAGCACCTACGTACTAACAAGTACATCACACAGACAGACAAACAGATCAGGTTACACTGGAAGTTGACACAAATGAAGCTTTAAGAAGCGTTAATAGACCATTAGCACCTTCGGTGACGACGATTAAGTATGGAAGTGGAAACAACAAACCGTTTTGACATATGTACACACGATAAAAACGTAAAAAATAACTTACTTAATATTATTATCATTTATCATTTGAATACAACAACTACATCCCCGAACGAGGATAATATCTCAACAAATGTCCATTCAATAAAGTCTTAATAACCATATTTTGTCTTCATCACATAATGTTTAACGATAATTCTATAATTTAATATTTTTCTAAAAGAAAATAAAGACAAAACTAACAAATACCGTTACCGTTGAGATCGACAACACGATACTCAGCTTGACAGTTGCAATATCATTATCAATAATCGGTGCGATCATATATTATTATATTATACAATATATATATATATATATATTAAAAATCAAGTTATATAAAAATCATTTTCAACCATATTAAATCTGAATGTTGATTTAGTTCATAAGACGGATATATTACATATAATTTGCATTATATGTTGTAATCATATTTTACTTCTTACAAAACAACAACTACTTATTAACCCTATATTACCATCCTGACTCTTTTTATACATAATCATCATAGACCAACTATTTAGGCGTCCACACGCGTACAGCTAGCATCGTGGCGGTAAAGGTAAGCTTGCTCCAAAGATCTTTGCTGAACTACGTACCCCGAAACACTTATAAGTAAAGTACCGGCCCACTCTGCCGCCACAAAACTACGTTCCGCTTACTAGTGCAACATTACAAAAATAACTCTCTAATAAACGATTCCACAGTAAGTATACCTACCTATTGTCTCATGTTCAAAAGAGTAGAGACATCGTGCCCTTATACATACATTAGTTTATCATCAACTTGGTCGTTAAGCGTGAGGGAGACAGGACGTGACACCTACTCTTTATCCCACGGCGGTTGAGGGTGGCAGGAATCCAAAAACTTGGTAGTATTTTTGTGACACGTATATTTCCTATTGCATGAGGTATTCCGTATTGGAGACTACATAATAATGTAGTATCAAATTTCGTCGCGCAAATCCTAAAACAAAACTATCTAAATGTGTATGTATTAATCGGGACTGATTAACTATCGTCACAGAGAGTTTATCTTCTTGAAGTCCTGTAAAATATTGCTTTTATTCAGGAAGGTATATAATTTAGCGATATAACTCAAACTCTGTGCTTATGAATGATGTAACTGTAAACCCCTATGTAAAATATAACACGTCACTTGTTGCAAAACATCGTGAGGATTCTGTTTACAATTTCTGAAAAGTTATTAATTAACATATTGGCCGGAACATCGGCTAACAGCGCTTACGAGATAAATGATTTAAAGTTATATGTAAATCTGGTAACTATTTGGTGTTTCCATGTTTCGGGCAAATCGATCAACCGGACACAAATATTAACTTAGAGTCTACAGGGGCGTCGCGAGTCGCGGCGCCAAAGCGCGCATCGCCAGCGTCGCCACTCGCATACGTCTCGTCCGAAATCGTAACCGCGCGTTATTTATTATCATAAGTACAGCACTAATAGAGGTTCCGATCGCAGGCCGGCGATCGCGGGACGCGCGGGTGCGACGCACGTTAACGTAAACTATAACCATGAATCGCGCACTTTCACTATTGGCGTGCCTATGGTCCAGTGAGTCCGTGCATGTATGGAGAGCGCGAATAGTATCGCAGCAAGGATAAGCGCCGTGCCTGGGGAGAGCGCACAGGCACCACCCGGTGCCTGATAAGGTACCGAGCACGAAGGCACGCGCTCTTCCACAGCGGCGCAGCGCTCCCCCTCAGGCCGCGGCGCCTCGCTGAGCCGCGACTCGCACCGGTAGCACAGCCGCCCCTCGCAGTACCAGTAACAGCACTCGTCCCACCCGTAGTTGGACTTGTTCGCCTGTGCACCCGTCTCTGGGATACGCGGGTCTGAAATCAACAATCATTCAACAAATCCAATTCTCATTTCACATAAAAAAATCTACTTTCCAATTTAAAAACTGCAATGATAAAAGAAATGTGCACAAAAAGTACTTGGCAACGTTTATCCCTGTCCGTACAAATATTAAACGGAAGACTTGAAGCAACAATTATTCTAAGACAAATACCGCTTTTAAGATAAATAAAAAAGCGTCGCCCCCAAAGTGACACTCGTTTTGTGCACTCTTTTCTTTGAGCTGCCGCCAAGCTTTTACGTATGTATAGTGGAAGAAAATTTGGCCTTATCTTGAGTGCATATTCTCTCTCGGTTGTAGTGTTTAATTTTACAATTTCTTTGAGTATTTATGTTTCAAGATCACCTATATTTATGGATTAAAATAAACTAAAATAAGTGTAAACTGAGTCGGCAGATAAAAGAGATAGTTGTGTGTAGTGTGTTTTTTTTTTGTTGTAGTGTCAACGTTCAATCCTGCACTAATATCAAACCAAACAATCGAAGCTACTCACCGAGACATAGGAACGTGGGTTCACCGGCGTATTGTGTGGGGTATGCAGGCGCGCGATCCGCCGGTAGGAAGTAGGGGCAGTGTTGCTCGACGAGCTGGCAGACAGAAAGGCAGGGCTTGAGCCGGACTATGGGCCGGCCGGGGCCGGCGGCGGCGGCGCGGACCCATCGGCCAACGACGCCGCCGGCACTGCGCCGACGGTCCAAATGTCCGACGCGCTCCAGGTGACGCGCGTGCCATCGCGCCGCGTGCTCAGAGGGCGCGCGGCGCGTTCTGCCTCCCTCCTCGCTGCCTTCCTCCGCACCCTCTTCCACCCACAGCGGCACCATCGTGCTGCACGCCCAACGTCGATACGTTTCCTGTAACACCAAAATACGACCAGTTTAATTTTTAATGAATTCGTGGGTAATTTTTTTTATTAATTTAATTTTAAATAAATTTTCACTTTTTACCTATTGCATTGGCAAACGGTAAAAATTAGAAATCAGCATCATTAATCAATTACTTATTGAGGGATTATATAGATCAACGGCTTACTAATTTAACAAATTAAGGTATTTTGTGGCCGATGCACAAAAGGTAATACTGAGGGTCTATGTCGGCTTTATATCAGCTTAATAAAGAATTCAATATAACTCTAATGAAATATAGCAGATTTTGTTAATTAATAAGGACCAATAAGACCAATTGACCTACGTGAATTCATACTTACTTATTCAATAAAGCATTCAAAAACAAAAACACTTAGGCTCGTTTAGGATGTTTTGCGCAGCATCAAGACCCTTGCAGCCGCCGCGCTACCTTGTACCTAGCCTATCTAGTATCATTTGGCTTGACTTCAAACAGACTGGAAGGTATTTATTGCTATTATAACGTTACCTGTTATATCCGAGGGTCGAACTTACTTTAGTTTATTCAACAAGATTTGTATTTTTTTTTTGAGTGTTTTTGTTAGTATTGTTTGAAGTCGGTTAAACTTCTTCTTAAATAGGGTTTATTTGTTATTACTGTCTAATATTGACATATGGTTTATTTACCTCTTTCAAAGTTTAATTATTACAAAAGTTATTGTTGTATTTTCTTAAAAATGTTACAAAATAATATACCTGCAGTATATTTTATTATGTAAAAAAAAACTACAACAACTAAACTACAAAACTAATTCACCAACGTAGATGCCAATCTAATGGTATTTACTTAAAAATAAAGATGTGTAATATTGATATGGCCAAATTAAAATATTATTAGTTAACTACTGATGTTCCTAATCTCACGGTTGCGGTAGCAAAACAGTTATATATTCATCAAATTTTATTTCTATCATGCAGTTTACCTTACCTCACCTTAAAGTTTTAACATTCAGTGTATTTCGATATCCAAAATTTAGGAAGTTTGATTTTCCAATAGTTTTTAAACTATAAGTATACATTGCATTGTTATATTAAGCCCTCATGGTCACGCATGTGACCTTGATGTGCTCGAAATATTATTAACACTCCCCAATTCATCCATTTAAGCAATATCTTACCTACATTTCCCTTTTAATATAGTGACAATTTCCCATCTTTAAATGTCAAAGTGCTCGGTTTATGGCTATACCTACGTACACTTCCCCTAATGTGTGAGTCGGACCTAACTAAACTAAATTATAAAGGACAATTCAGGATAAAGACGCGACTGAAAGTTACAGGAGGGTCGAAACGACACTTGGACTTAATACACTCATTAAACACATAATATATACATACAAATACAGTACATGTTTACAAAAATGTGTTGTGTGTTGTGTTTGTCTATAAAGCGATAACATGTCGTACAGCATCGCATAACTGATAGGGCACGTTATTAGGGATGGCTCGATTAAGCCCACCGGTCGCTTTAGGTCCAATACTATGCCCTTTTATGATCATTCGTTCATCTAATAGCTTATTGACACTGCATTCCCTATGTACAGGTTAACTAGCGTTAACGTGTTTATTGTTTACATTTTGGGATCACCTTAATTGTATAGCTTAATTATAGCTGGCATAGGGATATTTCAACACAGTCTTGGTTCTTAAATGAGACAAGTTTACATAAAAATTTGAGAAATGGATTCAAAATCCTTTCCGAGAAAAGAGAAAACCTGAAACAAATTTAAATCGGTATATTTCTTTTAGGAGCTAAGATACAGTGAAACATATGGATACCACGACATTAAGGTCTCTTTTTTGCGGCAGACTATTATTAAAAATAGTCATTGAAGTGGGCAACACAACGATCAACTTTAACGGTGCTCTACTTATATAATACTTAGGTACTGTGTATATCGGGATTCCTTCTTTTTGACCTTTGTGTCTAGCATATGTTTTAATCGAATTGATCGTTCATATGTAGATCACCTATAAATATTAACAATGCAATTTAATGTAAATTATTACCGACACAATACTACTGTAAATAAGTACCGATTTACGCGTCTTATATATGGTAAATGAGAAAATACGTACGAGTATAAAACTGAGGTGATAAAATGCGATGTATTAAAGGTAATATATAGCATCTTAATACTATTAATACCTACATTTGAAGTGTTTGTTTGCCATGGTAATAGATTTTTACTAAACTACTAAATACATGATGAATGACGGTCACATAATCACTTTTAAAATGTTTGTCTGTCTGTTTGTTAGGTTTAAACACCAATCTCTATGGGTGGACCAATCTGTACGGAATATTGACTGACATATACTTGATATTTTAAAGAGCAAGATAAGCTATTTTTAATACATAAAAAAAACGAATTAAGATTAGACGGAGAAAACGAAGAAGGTACACTTATCAACTAATTATTTAATGTTACTTACTTAACTTGAAATGCCATAAATTGTAACACCATCAAGTTGGAACACGAATCTAATAGCAGTTAATAAAATTTTAACACTTGTTGCAGGTCATAGTACCTACAAGAGTCTCTTACAAGGTCTACCTACATAATATTTAATGGACCAAGTTTTTTAAAGACCAAAGCAAGCATATTTTTAAAGTTTTACATACTTAGGATATCCCTTAGCAGTTTTTCACTGTTTATAAATTCGGAGTACTGCCTATGATTATTTTTAAGAAAAGAATGCTTACCACCATTCTATAGACAAAAGTGAATAAAGCATTACGAACAAAATATGCTAGGGAAGACTCCAGCGTAAAGATAAAGGTAACAATACACTATGCACAAAATGTTCTCGGTATCCCGTGAGGTACATCATAATAATATTTTCTAATCAAGTAATGTTCGATGTTGGAGCGCTCGCGGTGCGCTCTGGTGTCTAACAAATCAGAACAAATGAACATCATGTCAAGCAACGATGTCTCAGCGGGCGCCGGCAGCTGGTTGCCTCTTAACCATCGCCGAGTGTGGGTGAGGGGGAAGGCCGCTAAAGGGTGGGGTGACCGCCTCCAACCATATACTCAATCAATCATAGAGTGAACGCAAGGTGTCCTTCGATAACCGCATCCATACGTGTTCTGTTTATACTATTAGCTTTAAATAAACCAAATAATAGTATGAGGTTACACGTTCGTTTTTGTTGACTTATTGATTTGTACCTAAGTTAGCAGATCGAATTCCACACTAAGTTTTCTAAAATAAATAATATTAAATTTCAGGTATATTTATGGAATTCATGAGTTCGCAAAGTTATAAAATAAATACGCTACATCTGATGAAGTATAAGAATTATATACATATGCTAGATGAATACTTATTCATTTGTGCATCTCGACCCGTAGTACGCACACACGCATTTAACACATACAAAGTATATTTATTATTTAAACTTCAAAGTAGTTTGCAAGTAAATAATACGTTTATCTTTATACACACTTCACTCCCTTCGCCTCAACGTTTCAAAACAATAACTTTACTTATTTTATATCAATCAAAAAATTTTCTAAATCTGAATTGATTATTATAATTACTTACACTCTCTTGATGCATTAAAATGTCATAATAAAATGTAATTAACGAACTACGTTTGCATTGGACGTATTTTTTGTTTTATTTTATATCTGTGTTGTGTTCCTAACTAAAAGACTTTCATAGGCAAAGACTAGGGTGTGCACACGTGGATGACTAAACTGACTGTACCATTAAGGTTAATTTTTGATGCATCTGGCCGGGGTAGGGTACCATAAAATATGTACACATATTTCATTGTTTGATGCTCTGCCTATGTAGCTGTCATAAGTCAGCGATAATAGACCAGCGCCTGAAGATTTCACATCACTGATGCTAATCTTTCAAATCAAACCTCTTCAGCCAATATTTTATTTCTATGTCTCTTACATAATAACTTCGAATGACAGTAATGAACGATACCACTGACTCAGAATATAAAATAAAACAGAGCCAGTTTTAGTGTAAAAAGCATTAAGCAATTTATGGGCATACTACATTAGTAAGTGTGTTTATAGGCCGAAAGATCTGATAAGCAGTATTAATAGATACTTGTATGTTAAACAAATGTCAGCTATTAAACGTAGATGACTCGTGCTATCTAATAAATATGTATTAAGAAGCCTCGACGAAACATAACGATGTTTATTGCTGTACACTTTGTAGTGTTTGTAGTGTACACACAAGAATAAATTTATCTCTTTAATCTCTTTAAACTATGAGATTATACAAAAATAGAACGTCTGTTAAGAAATGATACAGAAGCTTTTTGAAATCATTGTCAATAAAACCAAAAAAGGAACCATAGAATAAGGATTATTTTTCAAAGCGCTGAATATTCCTAACTCATGGAAGAAAACCAGCCAAACTGAGGACTTCCACCTTTTCAAAGAACAAGCATTGCAATACTTCATTAATAACATCCTACAACGTAATTTTTCATTTAATTTTTTTTAACCATTGACGTGTCTTTTAAAATCCTACGTTTAATTTAACTTTTATGACATGCTACTGACTTACTTTATAAGTAATAAAACTGGACGTGTCAATAATATCGTAGCAAGTATAAAGATTACTAGGTATATAGTCTTACAAGTGTAATGTATTAGCAAGAATTACTGCAGACACGACGCCTCTGATGGATGAGGCCACTGGACATGTGTCGACTCACGGTGATCAAATCATGCGAAACCTTCCTCCATAATGTGAGGTTCCATTAACGTGCCGTCAAGCACCAAATATCAAACCGTCCGCTGAACTAAGTGTATCGTTACGTAATAAATATTTAATAAAACCTCGTTTCCATTAGTACGTTAAAATATATTTAAAACACAAATGAAATCTCGCCTCAGAGCTTTTGCGCTACCAGTAACAAGTACTGCTTCAAACCAACAA